TTACCAATTTTTGATAATAACCATTACCATGGTAAACCCTATTACTAAACTAAAGAGCAACCCAAACATGCTTTTTTTGACAATGCAATTTTAATTACTATTACAATCCTGTAATGGGATTGAACCAGACGGGCTCTTAGTAAAAGCATTCAACTCATGAGAATTTCAATTCTCTTGAAACATCCCCAAAAAATAAAAGCACGAATCAATAGAGGAGGATTGATCACTGCCCGATAAATAAGGAGCAAGTTGAAGAAACATGTGTTGTGATTATAAAGCATGCCATTCTCTTGCCTAAATTCCCAAAAAATAAAAAACAAAGGAATGAAAAAGTAATTGCATAAAGCAGACTCCATCTTTGGAGCTGTTTCCAAAGTCATTTCTGGCTTTTGGACAATATTAACTTAGAATTTTGATGGGGAGGGACCGAAATGGGATTTGATGATTTCACTTTCACATGTTGACATCAAAATTCAAAATGGGATTGATTCTTGTGATCAAAGTTGCTTTTTTCTTAGAAATAAAAAAATAAAAGATGAGTAATTGGCTACAGCTCAAAGAGAGTATAATTAGTTTAGAAATAACCAAACTGGTTAAGCGACAGAGCAGGCATATTGCTTTAATTACTAGACAATTTGGTGCAAGTCCTATCTGTTTAGCACAATGATTAGAGTTTGTTGCATTTAATTTGCAAATTCTTGCTTTCCAAGGTAGCTTTTTGTTAAGCTTTTGACAAATGAGCACTTTAGCTGAACCGGATTCTTTTTGGGTGACGAATAGATTCACTGCTTGAGATTGAGGCTGGGTCATATGGTCAGTTTCATCTAAATTGATGATGAAACGACATTTTCGAGCACCTCAGGCCACCTAGTAATTTTTTGTCATTGCATGTCTGAAATAATTTACACTTATTTTCACTAAGCATTTTTAAGGTAATTACTATTTTAGAACTAGATATATGCAGCAGATACTTCTTTGAATAACTAGATTGTTACTATTTCTTTACCACAACTTGACCAAAAAAAATTAAAGAAGAGTCAGTCATCACATGCTTGTTACTGGAGTTTTAACTGATAATTCGAAGCAACATATTTTTAATGCCACTACAGGAAGTAAAATTTGACTCATTCTCCAATGTTCACAGTTCAGTGGAAAAAAAAAAGTGCCAACTCTATTGAACTTGAAGCCTCTTTTTTTTTTTTTTTTTTTGGGGGGGTGGTTGAGGCTAATATTTTTCAGGAAAAGTTCCAGGTTTGATTCTCTGTTCATAGATTCATTAGAGAGAGAGAACAGAAATGGCTTTCATTTTGGCTTTGCGTTCTCCTAGAAGGAGAGGCATGTAAATGAGACAAGAACTACTTCTCTACAGGATGTTGTGTTCATAACGTTCACAACTTCGTCATCTTCACGGCACAAGACAAACACACTCCTTCATAAAATAAAGAATACATTAATTAATTTATGATCCTTCTTTATCCACACTATATTCGGTGCTGCTGCACAATTTGTCATATTCCAATGACTTTGATTCCATCTCTGATTAACTTTTGCCCCATAGTATAATATATCATCCCAAGCAGACAAGTCTAGCCGTTTTAAACTTCATTCATGAACTTAAGAAAAAAGAAACAAATCCCACCCTAATATCTTCACTTCAGACGCAGCCAAGAGAATTTCAATGGAGCAAAAATCTACCAACAGACACTCCACACCAGAACATTATTCATAAAATGGCCCTCATGTAAAAGTAAATCAATTTTATTGAATGAAACACTGGAGTGTGGTATAAGTACATAAATCATCACAAGATATTCAATTTGGTAAAGCACAAGACATCATCAAATGACAACCTGGGAAGCCCTAAAGGTATGGGACTATACACATACCCATCCACCAACGGCAACAACCATATCAAAACTATCATATTCATGAATTCTATGCCTCTCTCTCTCTCTCTCTCTATACACCAAAAAAGAAAAATAATAAGAAAATGCTGACCCAGGCAAATCAAACTGAATCAGAATAAGACGGTACGATATTGTGCTTTTATGACCGGGGAATCTTCAAATCAAAACATATTTCAGAAGGAAGCAGCATCAGCATGGCTTCCTCTGCTCTGATGATGATGTCGCTTTCCATGGTGGCGCCGGCCACTACCAAATGTTACCGGATCAAATTTCCTGAGTCTTTCAGCTTCTTGGGCATTGATCACACACTCCGGGGGAGGGACTTTGTATCTGACTCTGTCATAGCAGTAAGAGTATGTCATGTGCTTCTTCCTGATATTCTCCATCTTGATTCTTTGGACTGGTGTGATGCCAGAAGGAACTGTGTCGGAGCTTGGTGCAATGTCACACCTGGTCGTGTGCTCAATGGGGTCAACAGCACAACCATGCAGGACAAGGTTGGAGAACTCAGCAACATAGGGTGCATACTTGTAGTTCACTCTGTATTTTCCCCCATTGGTAGCCCAATCAGATCCATCCCATATTGTAGCATACAAAGTCATTGGCTTTGAGGGGAAATCACCTCCCATAGACTCTGTCCTCTCGATTTCTCTAATAGGGACATTGTCTACATAGAATCTGCAACAGAGAGGGAAACACAAAATAAGCAGAGCAAGTGAAGAACAAAGAAAGAAGAAATGACAATGTTTAATAATTTCATCAAGAAGCATTTCTTCTCTTTCTTCTATATTTTAGAACCATGAAAAACTCACTGGGGTTGCTTGAACTGCAACTGAGAAAACATAAAAAAGGCTAATTCATGAATTCAGGAAGATTTAAAAAAAAAAAAAAAATCCCACAACGACCAAGAATGCCATGCATCATGCTATCAGCTTGTTGGTCAATCCCACAAGATTTTCTCTGTTGAGTTCCTCTCCAAAGGAATATTTTACAATGAAGCATTAGATTTTATCAGAAGCCTCAGAAAGTACCCCAGGAATCAGCTATAAATGGTTATTCCACTCCAGACAAACAAACGAACCAAAAACAGCCTGGTTTTGGATCAAACAGCGTGCGTGAAAGCTCAGACGACACTAATAATCCTAGACCAGAAGGCATCCTCAGAAGTCAGAACAAGGCATAAGAGTACGTATAAGTGGCAACAAAAATACTGACAACGGAATTTTTCACTTCGATCTTAAAAACATAGCTGATGCCATGTGCCCATGTGAAGTATAAGTACACCGGCAAATGATATAAGGACTTTTCCATAAGAAAGTAAATGCAGATGCGACGGGAACCATAAAAGCTAAGAGAATCAAACATGGTAAGTGGAGCTGTGAATAATTCTTACATGATCTGAGAATCTGTCCAAAGAATACTGTACTGGTGGAATTCCTCTGCAGGATCAAACCAGAGATTATATCTTTCCTCTCTGCCAATGCCGGTGCTTCCATTACCATAAACGTTAGTCTGGATCCTCCATTCTTTCCCTCTAATGTTTCCCAGAAACTCAAAGTCTATTTCATCATGGTTCTTCTGGTACGTATCACCATTTGACATCTGCAGCAGAAAATCATTAAGTAAAATAGTATAATATGATCTTTCAACAAGAGAAACCCTTTCAACGGATAAACAAGAAATTCGCCTCGTATATTGTTATCAGGGAACCACCAAAGTGAAGGAAATGGAATTTAAAATCATCACGCTCGTTATATCTTGAGTAAGGAAATTTATGAAGCATGCTTGAAAACATTATCTATGTAAAATCCTGAGATTTGGTTGAATCATATTATCCACTTTCCGTCAGGTAATGAAGGAGGAAATAATTTTGAAAAGGTCAGAAAATTCGTATGGTTGTTGCAGCCTCGACTTACTATGCTTGGAAATGGATGAAAGTGAACAGCAGAGTAGTGTCAGCTTATTAGCCAGACTAGCTCAGCTCAGTGAAGAAGCATGATAAAACAAAAAAAAGCAGATACAGTTTCTGATGATGAAATTTCTCAAACGGGGCATGGAAATAAAATAATAAGCGGATTCGACAACTAAAGAGTATTTCTCTATTAAAACTTTCATCGGACAAAGGACCCGATCACTCACATAAAAGGCTACCACAACTCCTGCAGTGTAATCAGCGGGCAACTTAATCGAAGCACTGAAATACCCGTGAAGGTAAAGATCATGAGAAACAAACCCAGAACCTGAAACAGAACACAAACAACCCATTAAGAAAAATCAAAACTTTGGCCAGAAAAGCCCCAGAAGCCCCATGTAGATATTATTTTAAGCCCAGGAGCTCCAAAATAAGGAGGAGGGGATTGGGAAAGCACCTGTACGCTCATCCAAAGTGAGATGGACCGATTTCCCATCCCTATGGACGACCAGATTATTGTCCCCAAACAAGTGTGTGTAGCCTTCGTCAAAGGCTATGATGGGCAAATTCCTGGATGACCCAGAAGCAAGAACCAAGAGCAGAGAACAACACAGGAGAAAACCCAAATGAAATTGAAAACCTCCCATGCTCTTTTCTTCTTGTTTTTTTTGTGCCCTTCTTTTATGACACGTTGATTTTACAAAGCAAAAGGGCTTCTTCTGTTGTGGGTGTTTATGTCCTTCCCTCTATGGGTAACATATAAGAAGCACAACACAAAAGAAGAACGCAGAGGAGGAGGAGAGGGGAAGAGAGAGAGACCCGGGGGGGGGAGGGAAGAGGGCTGCGGAATATCTCTATTCTCTACAGCTAGAAGCGATAGAGAGAGCCGAAAAGGGCCGAACAGAGAAAAAGAGAAGGCTAAGGGAAGGTCATTTTATTGGCGAGTGCAGGCGAGGCAAGTAGGAGTGAATAGCGTTGAGGATTGAGCTGTTCATGAAGCAGACAATTTTAAAAATGCCTCCTTTTTTCCCCAAAAAAACTGCTTTTTCTTTGCTCAAAAAGTTTCTTTAACAAATCTAATTAAATGCGCCTTTCATTTTCGTTGATTAGCAATTAAGAAAATATGGAAAAGAAGCGACGAGTAAACAGTGAAACAGAGCCGCCCATTACCCATTCATGGGTGCATCACATACATCCATATCAGTCTCTCTCTCTCTCTCCCCCCCCTCGATGAGAACAAAGACTTGTTGACAAAGGCTACAACACGCGGCTCTCTCTCTGATGTCTACATGTCTCCGAATCTCCTTCGCCACAACGTTAATCTCTCGTATTTGCCCGGTTTTTGTCCCCATTATCTTCTTTAATTCATCTTAACACCGTTTGCCCAAACCGAATTTTCAGAGACAAGAAAGCTTCTTATTATAACTACTGACTTTTTAGCCGGAATATAGACACTGACATTTTAAGTTAAATAATATTTAACCCTATGCATTAATAATATTTAATGGCACCACAAAATTTTTAACCCCCGAGTTGTTCCCAGAGAAGAAGGCCCAGTAAAGCTTCAGTATGTGTTTTGACTTTTAATAGACTTGTCCCTCGAGAGAGATGATAGCATATGGCATGGAATGAGGTTGGAAACACCTAATAATGCAGCCCCAACCTAAAATTTTATTCAGATTAAATCTTCATAATTGTACATTTATGTGACCGGAGTGTAAATGCATGCGTAGGGTATTTTAATTTTATACTATTTAAATATATTGTATATAATTATTTTTATAATAATAAAAAAAATCCAACAAAAATAAACTTTAATTTATGGTTTCATAAGAATTACCGAGCAAATTAAAATGATCACCGCATGGGTAGGGGTTAAAAAAAAAACAGTCAGAAAACGATAATTAAAATTAAACGTTTGCCTTGTTCGCGTATAAAGCCGAGACTTAAAAGAGTCCTTCAATCTGTTTGGAGTTTTGATTCCCACTGACTCCAATTAGAATCAAAAAAAGCCAAATTGAAGCACAATGGTTATGATGACATTAATTGGGGTCTTTTCTCCTTCCAGTGCTCCGTTATAAGAAAATGGTAAAAGAAACCTTCATGTGCACTTAATCATTGAAACTCTATCCACCTCAAACGGTAACGAGACTTTAATATGTGGTCAAGTAGGCAAGTTTCCCATTCAAGAGTGCTTTTCTTTTCTTTTTTCTTTTTCTTTTTTTAGCTGAACAAGAGTGCTTATCTTTAAAAGGGGAAAAACACTTTATAATATGGACTTGTTATCGAACCCACTTCACCTAGTAATATAAGAGTGTTATAGACTTCTTCAAATTTTACCACTAACATAAACTTTTTATGTAAGTATTTTTATAACTATTATTTGCACCGAAACCATTCGCAAATACTTTACGAAATAAATAAATAAATAAAATGAGAAGCTTGAAGAGCAGGCTTTGAATATTTTGAAGACTTGGGGGAGGGGTAAAGTGCCAAAACTGAGAACCATTTTATTATTATTATAATAATACAAAAAAAAGAGCGAAACAGAGTGAAGAGAAAATAAAAGGTAGAGGATGACAGTGGATCAAACCAACCCCAATACAAGAAAAGTATGAATGATTAGGCCTAAAATAATCATATTCTGCAAACTTTTGGGGCAGAAAGGGGAACCTCTTTAATTATTTTATTACATTATTTACTAGTATTTTTCTTCAAATCCAAGCGCAGACAAGGTCAAAAGTGGAAATTCGCGTGGCTGGTTGCATCCTCGATTGGGCAAGAGCACCGTCCCTATGGAAAGTTTATGCGGATTGTGAAATCCCAGGAATAGCCTCGGGCCCCCAATCTCCTAGACTCCTACCCTGCCCCACCCAGCGGCCTGGGGTAACCGGCAGGGTTAATTGGTGAATGAGTTGAATAATCCGACGGGCGTTAAATGAAGCGAAAAGTTTCAACTTTCAACGCTCCGTGTCCATCAATCATCAACGAGCCCGGCGTGGGCCAGCGTTCAAATATTCGGCGCCCCGTCATAAAGCCACGTGATGACACGTGGAAATTAATTTGGTTATTTATTGAAACGCATGGCTTCTTATCTGATACTCCTCTGATCCTATTTATAAGTTACCTCCAACATGTTTCATACAAGCTAAAAAAAAAATTAAATTTTATTAACTTTTATTTAAAATTCAACAACTTCTCAACTTTATCCTTATTTAATATATATTATGCCTTATATAAATAAGATCAATATAATAATAAATGAAAGATGAAATTGTATATTTATACCCAAAAAAAATTTCTCAGCGTTCTATAAATAAGATCAAAAAATACCTCCTTTGTATTATATAAATAGGGCTAGAGGAATATGTTAAGTTATGTGCTCAAGGGGAAAAAATATCGTTACGCTTCAATTGTGCAAATCATGTTGAATTTTCATTCTCATACAAATAAATCTGCGTTAAAAAAAAATTGTCTCTAGACAAATTATTTTTATTTTCATTTCATTTTCCGCATCTGATGCATTTCATAAATATTGGCAGATGATCTATAAAGATTCTTGAGAACTGTTGGCAAAAAATTAAATAAATAAATAAAGATTCCTGGAAGTACTCTTTAAATTAAGAGGTGTGTCTCAATTTTGTGAGCCTTTTCTGTACCAACAATTGTGTGAGCCTATACAACTCACTTCGCATAAACTTAATTCCTTTTTTTTTTTTCATGATATGTATATGTGTGTGTGAATATACATGTGTAAATTTATGCAAATAATTGCACCATAAGAGAATAAAATTTAAAACTCAGAGAACAAATTACAAAGGCAATGATTTTTCATGATGCTATTTGATCTTGTCATAATGATAACGCATGATTGTTATTTACTATCCGTTTTAGTGGTAATGGTGAAATTAAAGCTAATTTGATTCAGAGCCGCAATAAGCAATCAAGTAGTACCGTATATTTATGTTTTAAAATTTTTTTAAGCGATAAACAGTATTATTAGAACAGAGTTATTGGATTTTTTTTTTGGGTTAAGCCCAAGTATTGAGCCTTAATAGTAATAATTAATTCTCTAAACTTTTTAAAGAGGTTTTAGTAACATTTTTCACAGGATCAAACTTTTAACTAAATATTTAAGAAATTATTTACTATAGTGAGATAGATATTTTTAAGCAATAAATTAAACAATACTAGTATTATTAGAATAACAAGATATTTTGTGGTTTAAGACAAGTTTACTTGTAGAAATGGAATTGTTGATGACAGGTGAGGGGACACGCGAGAATTGGGACGTCGGGAGAAAGTAGCCGTTGAGGAGGTGGAGCCCAGCCAGACAGTATTTTGACTAATCAGAGGGATCAACCCCCAAACGGTGGAAACTTTCGTCCCTGACAAAACGCGACCCCACCCCCCAATTCTCGCACTCCCTAACGCCACCCCCATCCTTAACGCCGTGACTCTCGCTGTCCCTTCCCCGTTCACTAGTCTCCTTTTCCACCTCTCGCCCCTCCTCTCCTCTCCATGACGTCCTTCCACGACGCCGTCACCTCTTCCAACTCCTCTTAAAAGGGCCAACAAAAAGTGGAACCTCGGAAATTTAGTTTCTGTATAATGGGAAACGCGCCCGCATGGGAAAGGACCGAAATGGGGTCGTCCACTAACCGCAATGGGGTTGCGGCGCATGTTAGAGAATAGGTGCAGGCATGCCTCAAGCTGCGCCGGGAGTGAACAGGAGCTGATGAGGAAACATGGGGATGGGGGAAGGGGATCCACACAGGATCCCAAGGCGCATCGTGGTTTGAGGCCGATGCCGCAGCTTTGCCCAGATACTGTACACGTGACTTACGCTGCACTTTCCGAGGCTCGACCCCATCTGCCCAATCTCAGCCCTTCATTTCCTCGTTCTCATTCCTCAGCCCGTTTCTTTCTCTCTTCTGTGCTGCGCGTGATCTCGCATCCAATGGCCGCTTTTGACACTCCGGATAACTAGGTGATTTGATTTCCCCAACAAAATTAAGGCACTCCATATGTCGTGAATGGCCCGTTTAACGTAGCAGTGGAAATCTTTTATAACCACATTTTAAGTGAATTGAGATAAAATTTATCTCATATATTTATTTCGTATTCTGTAAATTACTATTAAAAAGTAGTTTATAACAAGATCATTTTGCTTGAGTTTGTTCCATTAATATGAATGATACTTAAAAAGTCAATTACCTTTTATTTCTGCTTGTTATATACTATTTTTTTAAGTTAAATTATCTATCATATATTTTTATTTTTAATTTAATATCTAATTAACTAATTTAAAGAGATTAATTAAATGTTTTTTGACTTTTTTAATTTACTTTAAATTAGTAAAATGAGTCTTATAGCAAGGATAAGAAGTATTTTGATATAATTCAGTCAATAAATCTTTACTTTTTTTTTTCACAAGTCTTTAGGTATTATCATATTTACAAGAGTCAAACTTATAACCTTTTATTTTTGCTCAGATTGAAGAAGATACTTGGCAGCATTAGTTATTTTACCTTTGCCATCTATACTTGATATTAGTCGAGTCAAGCATTTCTGTCACGCATTCACTGAGTTGTTATAATTAATCCCTTTTTCTCAAAGGATAGAATTTTTCTGGAATTATAAAAAAGTAAAAGGCACACCCAAGAGCTGCTGTTACTTTTTATATTTCACGACGCTCCCATGACAGCCATGAAATTAGCGATTAATCAAAAAAAAATTTCACAGAATTTATTCTTTTAAAAAAAATTTTCAAATTTTTTTTTTCAGAAGCCATTTTTCAACACCCTCTGAAAAAACATAGAATAGTATAGTGCTCAATTGGGGTGCTCGGCTGATGTGGAAGGAAGGGGGCTGGCGGGGGGTCCACGCAATGAATGTGGACCACGT